AGTCGAATGTGACCCCTCAGGATTGAAGGGAAGTACCAGATCTGTCAAAGGAAAAGATTCGTGTAAACCCTCTACAACGGTCGGCCCTGAAGAAGAAAAGATAAAGAAATGGCCGGCGAACGGTCGGCCCTGAAGAAGAAAAGATAAAGAAATGGCCGGCGAACGTCAGATTTGCATGCCGGCTCTACGAGGACTGGTTTCATATTTATATATTTTTGTAGATTAATAACAGAAATTGGAATAAAATAGGAAAGGGATGTTTACATAGATCAATAGTCGTTCAGCGGCAGGCCAATAGAGGCACCTTCAACACTCGAGACCGCCGGACGTCACATGAATCACAAATGATGCACAACATTTTTTTTCTCTTTCTGGAATAGAAAAGATTTCACAAACCTTAGTCGCTCAGCGGCAGGCCAATAGAGGCACCTTCCAAGCTCCCGACCGCCGAATATCACATGAAACACAACTGATGCAGAACATTTTTTCTTTCCAGAATAGGAAAGATTTCACAATCCTTTCCGTTTTAAACCGAATGGTCTTTTTCCAATTGCTGTAAGCCACTCTTTGACCAAAATAGGAAAAATTCAGAAGTGGCAAAAAACTTTCCAAAACAGTAACACCCGACCAAAACAGGAACAGTTGGAAAGTCGCCACAACCTTCCCAAAACAGGAAAACTTCCTTCAGTCCAGCGAACAGAAGTCTCATTCATTTGTACAGATCTCAATAACATAAATAAATAAATTAATAAATACAGCCAACAGAAGTCTCATTCATTACAGATCCCAATAACTTAAATAAATAAATAAATAAATCATCATACAACCTTTCTGTACAGCACACGCCCACATAGGAAAGCTCTCTCCACCACAGCATACCGTTCTTAGTAATGTTAAGGCCCCAGTACTTTCACATATGCCCGAGCATTTGGGATGCATCTGCGATGCATCTGGCCTGCGCGCATGCCCAGGGCCGCCCTCCGTGTTAAACGCCGACCATTTTTTTTTTTACCCAAGACAAGGTACTGGCGGGTTGAGCCTCTCACTCTGCCGCACAATGCATCTTTTCACCGAGGCATCAAGGGCGTGGTCCCACTAGCAAAGAGGATCGGATCGAATGCCTGAATCTGGACAGGTTTACGGATGTGCAGGAAACCGAGATTGAACTGCTTTTCGGCATCTGTGCTTAAAACACACCCAGATTCAGGTGCTTGATCCTATCCTTTTTCCTAGTGGGACCTGGGCCCAGATTAGAAAGTTACTAACTACCCAGTAGCACCTACAGTCTTCTTTTTTTCTTGCTTTTTTTCCCGACATATTATTACAATATAAACAAAGGCCTGAACGGCCGTCCTGTCCAGATTTGACAGGTAATTGAATTGGTTGGGCTTAAAGAAAGGAAACAACCACCCCCCACCCTGCCCCTCCGTATCTGCTGACCACACCCGAGGTCCCACTTGCAAAGAGGATAGCACCAAGCACCTGAATCTGGACGTGTTTTACGCAGAAATGCAGAAAAGCAGATATACTCGCGATTTCCTGCACCTCTCCACAAACACATCCAGATTCACGTATTCGATCCGATCCTCCTTGCTAGTGGGACCAAGCCCCAGGTCAACGGTGCAAACTTCCATTATACAAACCCCATTACATTGTCGAGAAATCCCCCCGACAAGAAAATAAATTCAAAAAAGCTAGGAAGATTCCCATGACCGGCCGGTCACCCGGTCATCACAACCGGACCGGTCCCATGCCCGGGTATCCCGGTCGTCAAAAAAAAGGGCCCAGAAATATGATTTTTATTTTTTTTTTCCGCGGGGTTGTTCCGCGCTCGGTCTGTAGACCCCAAATCCGGGGTCTTTTTTTTTGTGTGTGTGACTTCGGGCCTGGGGGGTTTCATGGGTGGGGGGGTTGCGGGCAAGGGGGTTGTCTGTTGCTGTTGTTGTTGTTGTTGTTGTTGTTGTTGTAGAGAAGGGGTAGTAGAAGGGGTAGTAGAAGAAGACAAGAGGAGGACGATGAGAGAAGAAGAACACGTAGAAGAAGAAGAAGAAGATGTTAATGAGCAGAGGAGGGGGAAGCGGAGGATCGGAGGATGGCATTTTTTAATTTGTTTTTTTTTTCATGTCCTATTTCGCGCTACCTACCGAACGACGACGAAAATGATGGAACAACAGGAGGAGAGAAGAAGAAGAAGAAGAAGAAGAAGAAGAAGAAGTAGAAGAAGAAGAAGAAGAAGAAGATCAG